GAGATCCTAGATGCTTTCCCTCTGCCATCCTAATCCCCCCATTAAGGCTTGCTCGTTCTATTTCCTAAAAATTCTCTTACCTCCATCCACTTCCCCCACATCATCAATAGATCTTCTCCATTTCCACTGCCACTGGCCTAGTTCTGGGCCATTATTTCTGGTCTGGACCACAGTACAATCTGCTAATTGATCTGCCTGCCTTCAGGGTTAATCCTTCTAATCCAGTCCTCACATCTAGGATGGTAATTCTGAAACACAGATCTGGTACTGTCATTCCCCTCCTTAAACATGTTAATGTCCATCATTCTCAGAATATTAACATCTTAAGCTCCTTAGTTTAGCATTTGGGTTCTTTAGGATTCCCTTTAGTCAGTCACTGACCACCAGCTTCATCTCTTGACACTCCCTTCTGATTCTTCATCACCCCCACCCATCTGATAAATTTTTTTTGGACACTCCACATTTCACCTCCATAAATGTGCCTATGCTGAGAACACCTTCCTCACCCCAACCCTAACTGGGTGGGCTAGCTCCCTCTCCCATCCCCTAAGACCTCTGCTTAACTCTGGAGTCTTTTCCTAATCCTCAAACAGAACTAGATTACTTTTCCATGCATCCTTTTCTCATAGCACTGCACACCTGACAGGGCTGTCTTTGAGTTCCTTGAGGGCAGGGAGCTACAGAGTCTTGCACATCCCTCAGAACCATTATGGTACAAGATCACTGAACATACAGAAGGTGTCAGTGCATGTTTGCTGAATGAATGAGTACATGAATGAATGGACTTCTCACTTCTTGGGTCCCCTTCCTCCTGAGGGTCTCCCTAGTCCAAGCCCTGCTTCCTGTCCACTACCACTCAGTTCCCAGGTAAGTACCACTAATGGAGAATATCAGCCTCAGGTTGTTTGCCCTTTGTGAGCTCTTTCTGGGTGTCCTAAGTGATCTGAGCAACTCTTTTATGTGCAGATTCTTTGTCAGGCAGACATTTGACTGTCCTTGGGCCCAGCCAACAAGCTTATCCTTCCTTGTTAGGTGCTAGCCCCACTAATCTTCTCTCAGGGATTTATGCAGCTGCACTCCTCACATTATGGTCCTGGCAATATAAAAATATTTCCAACACTGAGAATATTAATGCCCCAAAAAAGAGGAGAGGGTCATCTTGTCACAAATTGATGATCCTGCAGAAACATAAAAATAGGTTAGCCTGGCCAGGCAAGGTGCTCACGCCTATAATCCCAGCCCTTTGGGAGGCCGAGGTACAAGAATTGGAGGCAGAGGTTGCAGTGAGCTGAGGTCATGCCACTGCACTCCAGCCTGGGTGACAGAGCGAGACTGTCTCAAAACAAAACAAAAGGAAACAAAACCAAAGGTTAGCCTTCTAGAATTTGAAGGTGAGGTAGACCTACTCTTGGAGGCCTCTATTGTGGGTGCAAGGCTGTGCTCCCTGCCACCCCACTCTCACCCTACAGCAGCTTCATGCTGGCCTCCGTAGCTCAATGAGAGGTCCTGGAAGGCAAGCCTGCTAACCCAGGTGGCCCCCAGAGCTTCAAGCAGAAAACTTTCCAAGAGACTATGTTGCCACCAGACTCACCCTGCTGCTCGCTCTCTCTGAATTTTTGGCCTATTAAAAGCCCCAGATCTGTCTCTAGTGCTTCTGCCAAGCTTCCTCACTTTCTAGTAGGGCCATAGACTTAAAAAAAAAAAAAAAATTATCAAGGCTTCAAGGGCTGGAAGAAGAGCCTAGAGCTGGAAGTCCATGGCTGCCATTCCACTGACTTGCTAGGTGAACTGGAGCAAATTTCTTCCTCTCCCTGGTCTCTCTTTATTGTAGTGGGCCAACTGCAACAAGTTAGACTCCAGAAATACCCAGTAAACAGGATCCGAAGTCAGAATTTGGAGTGAATGCCAATTTGGTTTCACCAAGTCTGCCAGCCCCTATCAGTCATCTGTGCTATCAGTTGTATACACTTTCTCACCACTAGTTCCTCCAGAAAACTAGCTTCCTTGCCTTTTCTTCAGAAAGAGGAGGTATTCCAAGCATAAAGAACAGCATGTGCAAAGATATGGGTGCAACACCTTGTTCAGTCCTCACAATAACAGCAAGGCCATTATCACCCTAGTAGAGGAACCTAAGTATTAGAGACGCTAAGCCCTTGCTGCGTGTTATGCAGCCAGTGGGTGAAGTTTAGATTGGAAACATGTCTTTCTGGCTCCAAAACCCACTTTGTCATTTTCAGAAAACAGTGAGTGGGGGTCCTTTAGATTGGAGTCCAGGGATTGAGGGTTGAGTATGGCAGAGACCAGAAATAGCAGGGATCAATTTTTGTGGAGTCTTTAAGACACATTACGGAGTGTAGACTTTAAACTGAGGGCAAGGAGAGCCATTGAATAGCTTTAAGGAAGAAGAACATGATCAGATTTATGTCAGAAAAATCACTTTGGCTGTAAGAGAATGAATTCGGGGGAGAAAGAGGACAGCTGTTGTAATCCAAGATGATTAGGCAGAGACTAAGAAGAGAAAATCTGCAGAAGTTCATACTTGATTAGATTTGGAGAGTGAGGGAGAGAGCAAAGTGGCAACATGACTCTCAGATTTCTTCTTTGAGCATTTTGGGTGGATTATGGTGCCATTCACTGGGACAGAGAACATAGCAGGTTGAGGGGTAAGAAGCAGCTTGGAGAGAAAATTAGCTCATGACTGGACGTTTAGGGTTTATCTAGAAAGAGATGTTCAGGAATATGTGGTGTGAAGCCCAGGAGCTGTCCAGGCTGGAGACAGTGATCTTCAGGGGGTAGTCGAAACTCACGATTTAGATGAAGTCATCCAGTGTGTAGAGTGGGGAGAGGTCAAGGACAGAGACTGGGACATGGGGACCCTCTCCCAGCACAGGGCCAGGCACAGGTGGGAGATCAGTGCTTGCTCACTGGATGGCTGGTGGCCCGGCGGTTGGGGCTGGGACATTCACTTGGGCCAGGGGAAGCAAATTGAATGATTTGTCCAGCAATGAGGGAGGAGCCAGATGAAGTCAATAGAAAACTAATTTTCTTTTCTGCTGGAAGAAATGAGGTGTGTGGCCGCTGGGTAATTGCAGATAACGAGGGGACTTATTCTTAATATGCACAGCGGCCATGGTCCCTAGGATACAGGAGACAGGAAGGATTGTAGGTGCCCTGATAGGGCCAGACTTGTTTGGCAAGAAAATCACCCTATCATAGTCCCTCTATTGGCACCACCACAGCCCATGGGCCCCATCCTAACCCCTCCCCCTCTTAGGCCCCTTCCTGTCCCATTCCCCTTCCTGTCAACTGCCTAGCACAGCCCCTCCCTCCTCCACCCTCTACCCCCACAGCACAGGCGCACACACTAAGAGAGACAAATGATGGGGCCTCAGCTGAGCGGGGTGCGTGTCCAGCCCATAAACCACGGGGATGGGTCACGTCTGGAGTTGCCATGGCCGCCACTACCCACCCATCTGTCTTCCCACTGTTCTGCCTCAGACCAGCCCGTACGGCTTCCTGAGTCCCTGGGGGAAGGTGTCACCTCTCCATGCCCACATCCACTGCAGGTACATCCACACTGAGCTCTGCGAGACAGGACCCTGTCTGACTTGCCTGCCCAAAGCAGGCTCCGCAGAGCTAGGATCTGGCTAGTGATGCAGGGTGTGGGCCGACCAGAGACTGCGCCTCCTACTGCCCTTGTCTAGTGCTGGAGAGTCCCCTTCCTAGGCTAAGGTCCTGGCAAAGGTGGGCCTTGACAGGCAGAGAACTCCTGACCCCACCTTGAGCTTACTACCCCCCACACTTTATTATGACATTGATGTACAATATTTCTACAATCACAGCATCGATCCTATGAAGGCTGGTGGTGGCTGAGGCCCTGGTTATGGCCCAGGAGCATCTAAGGGAGATGGGAGAAGAGGCAGGTGAGGGGATAATGAGTTGGTGGCTGCGTGGGCAGCTGAACAGAAAAACTCAAGGCACTCAGGCTGCTTCTCTCCTAGGCTTCCTCTAGTTGAATAAGCTCTGGGCAGGTGCACCTCCTGCTGGTGGTGGCAGTGGTGAAACAAATCCTGGCCCATGTCCATGATACTGAGGCCCCAGAGGCCTGATCCTGCAGCCTCTAGGGTTCTAGGACAGTTGAAAGCATCCAATACTGGAGAAACTGTTTGTGATAGTCTAATACAGGCAGACATTCCACAAGGTATGGGCAGAAACAGGGCCCAAAAAGGGACTAGCACCCACTTTGAGCCTACTAGGACAGAGGCAGGGCTTCCGCTGACGTATACAGGAGTGTCTGGTAGAGGGCTGATGGCCAAGGCTATGAGGAGGACCACAAATCTGGACCCTCCCCATCCTATCGGAGCTGCACAGGAACAGGTGCCCAGGCAAGTTGCTGTTTGAGCACACAAGCCCAGGACACAAGGCAGGTGTGTTTCCCAGGGCCCTGGCCCAGCAGTGCCGAGCCTTGTGCCTTGTCACTAGTGATTATGGCCTGGGTCACATCTTCCACACACACGAAAGTGTCGGCAAAGTCACCCTGGCCGTGGGTGTGATGAATGGCTGCCCAGTAATGAAATGGAGACATCAAGGCGGGTGGCGGGAAGACGGAGTGTGGCGGACGGGCCGTCCCCACGCGGCGGCAACAAGAAGGATCGCCCAGCGGCCGGGGGCCGTCAAGGGAGAAATTACACATTTACTCTGCCTTTTTCTTACTGCGACGGCGCCCATACATCACCGCTGGGGCTGGGGCGGGACATGCCGGCCAATTTCCAGCATGAATTATGGAACTGAGAAGCATCGAGACCAGGCTTCCTGCTGGCCCAGCATCACCCAGCCCAACCTGAAGCCAGGGATGCTGCCACCAGGGGATGGGACCACCCTCTCTAAAGCCTGTGGCTCCTGAATCTGACCCTGCTTCCCACCCCCGCCCTTGTAAGAGCACCTGTGGGCATGGAGGGGAAGGATGTGGGGCCGATCTAAATGTCTTCTCTCCTTTTTAGACGACTGCAAGAACATTGCCAACATCATGAAGACACTCGCCTATCGAGGCTTCATCTTCAAGCAGACATCGAAGCCGTTCTGATTGGCCGAGGACAGGATGGGGCAGGACAGGGTAGCTGTTTGGCCCAGCCCAGAATCCTCCTCTCCCTCACCAGAGGGGAAGAGGGAGAGTGGCATAGCTCTGCATCCAGAGTGTCCCCCAGCTGCCCTGTGGGCTTGTGCCCTTGGCGTGGGCTTGTGCCCTTGCAAGGGCTTGGCCACTTGGCCCTTCTGGAGCAGACACTTTGTGCCCCCCATCCCCACCCCTCAATCTCAGCCCAGTATTAGCCCCTCCCATTGCGGGCCTGGGCTAGGGGAACCCAGGCACTCACCGCCTCCTCCCTGGTACACAGGCTTCTGTGGGGCCACCAAGCCCCCCCTGTGCCCCCTCCCATCCATAGTGCATGGTGTGTGGTGCCCCCAGGGCTCCAGGACAGATCAGGCCCCACCTTGTGTCTACCCCCATCCCCGCTGTGAACGTGCCACTGAATAAAGTCGGGGAAACGAGGCAGTGGGTGTGTGTGCAAAGCCGTCTGTGTATGTGAGGCTGCTGCTGCGCCAAAGCTGTCAGGATGTGAAGGTAGGTAGAGCATGCTCCAGACTGCCTCTGTGCACAAGGCCATCCGTGTGTGACTGGCCGTCACTGCAGCACCTGTGACACCCTCACTCAATATGCACACAACTGTGGCAGTGCGGGGACTATCAGTACAGGCTGTGTGCAAAGCCATCTTGAGTGTAAACCACAGGTGCTCTGAGGTGCAGGAGTTTGGGTGAAACTCACAGTGGTTAGTGGTCAGAGAGCTGCGAAGGGCCTGAACACAGGCAAACCTACCTGCCACCCTGTGGAGTGGCTGTGACAATCCCCTCCTGGCCCACCCTTCCCACTAGGGGCATCAGAAGTGAAGGAAAGGGAAAGGAAGCAGCCTGGTCCAATTCAGCAGCTCTATTTACATAACAGCGTCGCCCACACCCCGTGGGGTCTCTCATGGCTTCTTGGCTTTCTTCACAGAAGATGAGCTGGAGGCCGACTCCCGTCGCTTTCTCTGAGGACACACAGAAGGCATTGAGGTCAGTGACCCCCAAGGCCTGAGTCAGGCTCAGTGCATGTGTTTCACGTGCTCAGGGACAAGGACGCCCACTGGTCAACCCACTCCTACCCCTCAGTCTCAGACCCACACAGAAGTGATGATCATTCCTGCTGCAGGTACTAGAGGGAGAGGAGCCCCTACACCCATGTGCATGCGCTCACTCGCAGGGCCAAGGCGTGCCTCCCAGCCTGTCCAGACTCTTACCGAATTGGGTGTGAGGGGTGCGCCCACCACATCAATGATGGTGTCCTTGGGGTCAGGGCCAAGTCCTGGTTCAGTCACTGCTGGCTCAGCAGAGGCCGGGCCTGGGCCTGATGCTGGTGTGGCAGGGCCCCCCAGCACACCTGCCCGGGCCAGTGCCTCATGACGGTGCCGCAGCATCTGCAGCTCATACTCGCAGTTGGCACAGGCCTGCTTGAGCTCGTACAGCAGCACCAGGTCGCTTCGCAGCTCATTGAACATGTGCACCAGCTCCTCCGTAGGTGTCGGGCTCAGCTCTGCAGGCAGGTGGCGGGCAGCACAGGGGCAGAGCCCAGGTGTGGTAGAGGGCCAGCCACGTGAACTCCCCTCCCCGTGCCCAGCCTTTTATCCACAGCCTCGGGTGGGTACACCCTGTGGGGCCCAGTCCCCACACTCACCCACACCAAGCTCCAGCAGCATCTGTTCCAGGGCCTTGATCTTCTTCTGTCCCACAGAGCTGGGCAGCTTCATCTGCAATGAAAGCTGGCAAGCTGAGCCTCTCCCAGGCACAAGAGACTTAGGATGAAGGGGACAAAAGGCAGTGGGAAAGAGGTGTGGAAGAGACGGTAACACATGGAGGTTAACTATGGGCCAGAAAAGGAAATAGCCAGGAAGCTGAATATAGTGCAAGCTGTGACCTTAGCCTGGCCACATCACTGAGATCCTGGCAAGGCCACCTCTGTCTGCAGCAATCTCTCCTACCGCTCCATCCCCACCTGCTTTCAGCGTTTGGGCCACATGGAGCCCAGAGCAGAACCCAGGGCCCAAACATGCTAAAGGAGGTGACTCACGTACCCGTTGGCTCCGCAGCGTGACACCTGCAGACTTGAAGTCTGGAAACTTGATGCCTGCAGTCTCAGGAACAGCCTAGGGAAGAAGGCATTATGGAGATCAAGGTGTCACAGGGAGAGAGCCCAGGGTTAGTCCCAGCACCCCATCAGCACTGGGTGCTCTCAGAACCCTCCACTTGGGGTGGGGCCTTGTGCCAGGTGACCCTTCCACCCTGAGCTGGGCTGGCTGAGCCTCCGCACCGGCTTCTCAGCCTCCTTTTTCTGGGGTAGCTTCTTCTTGGGGGCCTTGCGTTCCGTGCGCCGCTGCTCTGCAGTGGTGTCTGCCGCTGTGATCAGCTTCTGCAGGTCCTGGCTGCGTTTCTCCCGCTCCTTCTTCCGGGCCTCGATCTTGCGCAGCTCCTGTAGCAGGTACTCCTCCTCTGCCACCTGGGAAAGTGAGGGATGCAAAGTGTGTGAGGGCACTTCTAGGAGTGAGGGTAGACACGGAGGTGATGGGGTGCTGGGGTGTCTGTGAGGGAATCTGAGAAGTAAGGGATCATGAGGGAGGTGAAGGGCTATGAAAAGCAAGGGGGATGGCCCATGAGAGGTAGGAATGGGCCTGGGGCAGTTAATAGGGTATCAGTGAGAGGCAGGGGGACCTGGGGTGGGAGTTGAGGGGTACAGAGGATGGAGGCAATGGGCAAGGGGTTTGGGGCATGGAGGACAGGTATGTGGCCTTGGGCTAACCTGCTCTGGGGTCCGGTTGTAGAGACGCTCAAGCTGTTCCTTCCGCCGTCGTTCGTGCCCAGCATCAAATACTGGTATCTTAAGGTCTGTGCCTGGCACAGCCCGCACGTTAGCAAGCTTAGCACAGATGTGGTAGTACCGCTCCTTCAGGTCTTCCACAGAACGCTTCTGAGAAGCAAGACAGGGTAGAGGAATGAACATTCAGGGGCATGTGGAAGAGATGGCATAAAAGGGCCTGCTAGAGAAGCTGGGCACACATGCAAATGCACAGTGGCTCACCTTGAACTGCTGGTGGTCATACCGGTCATGGATAACAACAAAACGCAGGTCAAAGCGGCGGCTGAGGTCAAAGAGGTGGTCAGTTTCTGCCTTAGTCCAAGCATCATCGTGGAGATAAAGCTGGTACTCCTGCTCTGAGTACACAGGCACCTGCACAGTCTGCTGGCACAGAGGGACACAGTAGGGGCATGCCCACATCATGTCATGTCTAGCAGGTTCCAGCCCCCAGTGACCACAGCTCCTCCTGTTTGTTGCCAGCCCCTGGGCCTGTGCCCCTGCAGCATGGAGTGAGGAAAGAACCTGTCTGCTTGACTAGAGGTCCTAGCAGGGTTTGGGACTGTAGCCTCCCCCTGATTCATTCCAGGAGCAACTGCACTGTCTCCAGCTCCAGAGCCTCAGTCATGGGACACACACACTGCTGCCCCCATGGTTAAGGTGAGGGGCCCACATGTAAGTGCTTCTGTGGAGTCCAAAGGTCAACTCTGGAGTAGGACAGATGGCTAATTACCTGGAGAAAGGCCCAGCAGCCCCTAGTCCATATAACTCTTGTCTGAAGCACTACTGCCACCCAGTGGGGACAATGGGACTTGCTGCTCCCCCAGAGTTTGCCAAGGTCAGGCATCTCTACAAAAGCTGGGCCTGAATCCTACTCCCAACATAGGCAGCCCTGCCAATGCCCCTTCCTCCCTTCTCCCATACCCCCAATCCTACAGACCTCTCCCAGAGACAAACAGCACTACCACCAGCTGGGTCTGTCAGAGACCCAAGGAAGGAGTCAATGCTAGACTAGATCAGGAAAGTCTCTCTTCTCAGTTAAAGACCACAACCAGCTCCAAAACTGGTCGCCTTTTGGACATCTCCTACTGGAGGTCCCCCATGTACCTCAAACTTACCTCAGTACTGAACTCTTGGCCCTCCCTCAAACATTATCTTCTCCAGTCCAGATTTCAGTCAATATCACCATCACCCAACCCAGCTGCTCAAGCCAGAAACCTGGGAGGCATCTTAATTCCTATCTTTCCCCTTGAGTCCCAACTCCTCTTGACCAAATCTGTGGCTTTTACCTCCAAAATTTCTGTCTCTGTTGCCACTTCCCAGTCCAGCCTACCCGCTGTCACTTGGCTGGATCAGAGAAATAGCCTCCCTGCTGATCTCTGCCCTCATTCAATCCTCCTCCAATCAATTCTCCATCTGCAGCTAAGGTGATCTCTTTGAACAGTGCTACTTAAAGGATAGTCTGCAAACCAAGTGCTGTTTACACTTACCCCGGTCTATGATGAGAATGCAAACTGAAAGTAGACACTAAAAAACTTACATAACAATTTTACAGTAATTGTATGCTGTTGAATCTAATATGAGGAAACATGGCCTTGTATTTTGCCTTTATAATTTTATTATCTTTATCAGTCTCTGATGGATTGGAAGTAAAAATAGAAAAATGTCCTTCACCACAGATGATTTGAGACACACTGTCCTAGTGTTTCAGAATATATATCTTATCATTACCAACTATCCCTTATTAAAATCCTCAGAGGCTCTCCATCTAAGATAAAGCATCTTCTAGATAATTCACAAACTCCTCAAGCGCAAGGGTGTCCAGTTCATCTCCCACCTTTAGGACTCAGCACACTGTACGTATCAGTGTCTACCAAATCAATTAATGAACACGCAAATAAATGACCTGGCCTCCTCCCGCAGCCACTGTCCCTCATGAACCCTAAATTGCAGCCAAATGACTAGCAGTTTCTAGAACATAGCAGACTTCCCCCTTGATCTCTGCTCTTGCCTGAAATGCCTTCCACTTCTACATTCCTTCTACCTAGATAACTTTCTCAACCTTTCGAGCTCTCAGGCATCATCTCCTCTGGGAAGTCTCTCTGGTTTGCCAGGTTTGGTTACGTATTTCTCCTATGCATTTTAATTCAATTTAACTAAAAAACAAACCAACAACTCAGGACCAGCTACGGTGGCTCACGCCTGTAATCCCCACACTTTGGGAGGCTGAGGTGGGCAGATCGCTTGAGCCCAAGAGTTTGAGACCAGCCTGGGAAACACGGTGAAACCCGGTCTCTAAAAAAACCACAAAAATTAGCCAGGCATTTTGGTACATGCCAGTGGTCCCAGCTACTCGGGAGGCTGAGGTGGGAGGATCACTTGAGCCCTGGAGGTGGAGGATGCAATGAGCTGAGATCACACCACTGTACTCCAGCCTGGCCGACAAAAAGAGACCTTGTCTCAAAGAAGAAGAAGGGGAAAAAAAAAACCCTCAGGAACCGTGCAGCCAGTCCTCTCAAGTAGCTCATAGTCGAGTGAGGAAGACATTTTTTCATTCATTTAACAAATATTTACCATGGGCCTGCAATACCTATGCTGGAGACACAGTGCTG